GGAATTGTGGGAGTTGAAGTCCAAAACATCTGGAGAATCACTGATTTAAACTGACTTGATGAGTGGGAATGCAAATCCCATGGCAATGCTGTGGGCTATTAAGAAATTATTTGTGATGAGGAAAACATCTTAAAAATAAAATCAGAAAGTATAGGTACAAAACCCACAATTTCCAGTGTTTTTTATTTTATAAAAGATCTGCCTAAAGACAGCATCCGTTACTTAGTAGAGCAAGTGAGATTTGAGCTGGGTTTCTTAGATGCTTAAGCCAATACACATCAGCTTCATTCCATTAGCACAAATATTGTGGCACCCATTGGCTTTAATTATAGTTCTTCTCCCAACTGGAATAGACCCATTGAATAGATAGGACATTTGTATGTTTATTCATCATTCAATGTTTGCAATTGGCATGCTTTATTTGGGCAGTTTTCCGACCCTGCTGACACCTTCTTCCATATTATGCACATTAGGAGAATCCACTGCATTTTTTAGTTGACCAATTAGTAGAAACTTTTGAAACAGCTTGGTTAAAAAGTTATACATTTAGAAATGTCCATTGTCAGAACTGGTTTGGTGATAGGTTACCAGCAGGATGAAATAGCAGGTGCTGTTTGTGATGATCTTTTCATTTTCGAAGATGCATTTTCCAGAGAAAGCATCTCTGTGTAGAAGAACAATCTAAACAGCAGCCCACAGGAGTGCACCAAAGTTACCATGTACCAGGATGGACAGCGTCAGTATAGTAAATACACATTTCATTACCTCTGCTCAGCTTTCTCCTGGATCTAATTTGTCAAGTCACAGCTGGAGAGACTGTTTCCCACCTCTAGGGAAATTTTGCAGTATGCGGGCCTTCTAGACACAATGATTGCATGCATCCTCCATGATGCCTTATTATGACAAATTTGCACTGCACTGAATCCCTCTGAAAAGCTGAGAATGCACAAAGCCCCTTTATGTTTGTGGCTTCTTTGCATTGTTTTCCTGCAAAAAGCACATCTTTTAGTTCACCTCCTGCTGTATCCTATTAACAATGAAGTTGAGTATTGAGAGTTTGGCCTAGGAAACATTTGGCAGTATGTGGTGGGGAAGAAGAAGCAAAAAGGGACAGAGAAACATTGATGGAGATGTGGCTGGGAATGGCCCTCATCTCCCAGAATCCTTTAGCCAAAATGGCCAGTTGGAAAGAGGCTGAGTACATGAGGCAGGGGAAAGCAAAATAGCAAGATGCAATGTATTTCTTACCAAAGTTCAGCTCCTCTCTTTGTATTCATACTGAGAAGTAAAAGCTGCTGAGGTAACCATTCAAGATCACAAAGAAGGTATCAAGTGTATACATTTCTGCTCCAGAATAAGTCTTATTCAAATAGATTCCCAGAACTCAGTTCCCTACAGCCCAAATTGAGGCTTTAAGTACTTTTGCTTTTAGTAGGGGGTAAGAGGTAGATAAGCTGTTCATTTGATGGAGAATCTGTGCAAGCTGAAAGTTTCATAAAATAATAGAATCATAAAGTCAGAAGAGACCACAAGGACCATTCAGTTCAATCCTCTGCCATGGAATAAATTGCCATAATTAAAAAGCAGCATCAGCCATAAATGTCATCCAGTGGAAAAATGCTGGACTTATTCACCAGCCAAATTTATTTTAGGAGGAGGAGGAGGTGGAGGAGGAGGGGGAAAGAAACATGAAAATAGTTCCTCCCGCTGTTGCTGTTGCTGGTATCCTACCTCTTCTTCAGCAATTAAATAACACATCATGCTAATGTGAAGATATAATTAAGGTATCAGTACAATTAAAAATGTGCCTAGTTTAAAAACCCAAGAAATATAAACAATACCATGCAAAGTTAAAGGACATTTTCATTGGTAAACAAGCCTTCATCTGTTTGTGGAAGGATAGCAGGAAGGGCAAAAGTCTAGCTTCTCTAGGAAGTGAGTTCCAAAGCCAATAAGAGGGTTGTGGGATAGAAAAAAGGACCTCCCCAGAAATCTCATATGTGGATTTCTTGGAACTTATGGGACCTTACAGGTTATCACCAGCACTTTGAATCGTGCCAACAAACAGACTGATAGCCATTGGATATGTTGCAACAAGGAAATAGTATATGGTGATACAATATTTGTGATCCACAGTGTTTGCTGACTTATTTCCTCAGTGTGTTTGTGTGTGTGTGTTAGAGAGAGAGAGAGAGAGAGAGATTGAGAATGGGATGGCCAGAGGAACATCTTCTCTGACTCTTTCTAGGGAGCAGAATAACATCAAATATGTGCACCACAGGGCTGGTGCATTTGAAGTTTCTCTCCTGCAGACTATCAAAGGCCAAAGCATTTCCAAGGAAGTGAAAATAATCACCTGATGCTGACTTTTTACAGCAGCGGGACTTCGGAAGCTAACCATCACTGTCATCAATTAAATGCAAAAGAAGAAAAAGCTGGAACCTTCAAACATTTTTCATTTTTCCTTTTTATAATGGTCACTGCTCCTTGCAGTTCCTGCAGATATGTCAGTTTCCTTTGCACCAGATACTTGGCCATTAGACAACAGAAAAGGGCACTCTCTTTTCTGAAGCAGCCACACACTTACACTGAGAATTGATGCTCAATGCACTAAATTAGAGTGGGAAAGTATTTTAAAAAAATTATTCCACTTGAGCGAGAGGATTGGATCAAATGAAAAGAACTGAGGGCTCACAGTAGAAGATAGCTTTCAATGTTGTGCAAGGAGTATTTCTAATTCCGGTCAGAAATGGTTCAGATGTCAGTGGGGTGGTGAATCTACTCCTGTGTTCATTTCATAGCATCTTGGATACTTCCTTTCAAGTTTACACTATGCTGCAAAAATTGATTACATTGAAGTCACCAAACTTCAAGGATATTAATTAATTTTTAAAAGTTACTTATATTAAAGGTAACTTGCTGTTTCATTGATCAGACAGTGAGACTAATTGATTCAAAAACCAATGATTCGATTAACTAAATTACAAGCCACCCCCTGCCACGCATTGCTGTGGCCCAGTCTGTGTATTGTGTGTTTTGTGTATGTGTATATGTGTATATATGTGGGTTTGTGCATGCGTTGTAATGTAAAAATTTTTTTGGCTTTTTAAGTCTCTTCCACTATGTTTTTCAGTGTTTTATGAGTGATGGTCACTTGTTGGTCTGATAGGTGTATTGTGTCCAAATTTGGTGTGAATTCGTCCAGTGGTTTCTGAGTTATATTAATCCCACAAACAAACATTACATTTTTATTTATACAGAAGAGAGAAAGTTTCAAAGACCTGCAAATTGCCTCTTGTGGGGAATAGATGTCAAAGCTTCAATCTCTTCTCCATGATGGAAGGGTGTCCACTATTGCTTTTGTAAAAATCTGGGACACTAGGTGCCAGTCAGTGCTGGAAGGGTGAGAAACAAGAGAAGTATGACAGTTAGAATGAGTTATTTTACTTAAAAAGTTGGGGATATTTCTTGGTTTTTCTTGTCCTGGTTGGTGATATGTCTTGGTTTTTCTGTCCTGCAGTTGAATTTTTTAGATCCTGGGTTTTTAAAATTCCAAATATTCAGCAATGTTTGGGTGGTGCATATCATGTGCCAGCAAGGGGTAGTGGTTTGCATTTTTGGTTGGGACTGATTTGTCTATAGAAATCCACTGAGTGGTCTTTGACATGTGCCAGCAAGGGGTAGTGGTTTGCATTTTTGGTTGGGACTGATTTGTCTATAGAAACCCACTGAGTGGTCTTTGACAAGCCATACTTTTTCAGACTCAGAGGAGGGCAATGTCAATAGTAATATCCCTCTGAAGAAATCATGTGAAGGCAACACAAGAAACTAAAATTACCTTTGTCTACACCAGTCATGTTTGACAGGTAGAGCTGCTCCCTTCAGGGAAAGGAGTGTGTTGTATTTGCTTGCCATCCTGGTATTAAACATGAAAAACCTCTCAGAAAAAAACAGGTGACACTTTTAATTCAGCAATAACGTTGTTGGATACACTGTGATTCAAAGCTAGAGATGTATGGATCAAGCATAAAGTAGGTCTTTCCCATCATTGACCTCCCTCCCCACACACCCCTTGAATTCCATCGAGACTGTATTATAAAATATGTGAATAAAAAGCATACTGAATTTTCACTCATCCTTAGATTGCATCCCATCTCATCCCATCTCAGGCTGAGCACTACTGTTTATTTGACCCACCCATCCATCCTATCTTCATATGTGGAATTAAATCTCATCTAGGTGAACTCTATCTTCTCCTTTCTTCAGGGAGCAAAGTATCTTGGGCTACCGTTTGCTGGGGAACATCAGAAGGACAAAATCATGGAGATTGCCTCCTGCTAAAAGCTAATTCATATGCGAACGCATAGGCCAATATGCAAAGAGATCTTGTAGTACCTCAGAGAAAGAAATTGGTGGCATGTTTCCTAATTAGCTTTTTCTGGAAGTGCCATAAGAACACCTTGCAGAGCTTCCAACATACCTTACAGATCAATGGTTCTCAACCTCTGGATACCCAGATGTTTGGCCTTCAACTCTCAGAAATCCTAACAGCTGGTAAAGTGCCTGGGACTTCGAGGAGTTGTAGGCCAAAACACTTGGGCACCCACAGGTTGAGAACCACTTTCTACACATCTGTGGGTTATCCATTTCCTCTAGGATATAGTAAAGGTTGTTAGAATCAAGAGCCTGCAAAAAGTAACTGTCTCAAAATTATGACTTTCAGAATCTTCCACTTCACACGCATGGCCAATTCTGGTAAAGTCTTGAGAAAACAAAGGGACTAGAATCCTCCAGATATATTGCCAACATGACTTAAGGATTCTGGGAGATGCTATTCCTCTGTATCATTCCTCTTTTCCTTGCATCTCACCATGATTAAATCTTCATAATCCCCATATTCAGAATGACCAATAAAGAACTTTGTTCATCTGGTAGCATTCAATACTGGAGAGCTAAATTGGACCACTTGTCTTTCTTTCTTTCTTTTTAATGATTTGCAGAATGTGACTCCTTTCCAAGTTGCTGTGCGAGATGACAACTGCATTGTCATTTCCCTTGAAGCTGCTGATGTGGTGAGCTCACTCTCCTCTGTGTATGTTGTGAAGATCACCGGTGAATCCAAGAACTATTTTTTCCAGTTTGATGAATTCAACAGCACTTTACCCGCTCCTGTGGTTTTCAATGCCACCTACCATGGCCTTTATTACATAGTAACTCTAATGGTGGTGAGCGCAAATATGGTTTCCAAGCCAACTCGATCAATCACTGTGTTAACTAGTAAGTATTTTCTATTTTTTAGTGTAATGCGGTTAGTTTGTCTGTGCCTTTTTTCATAAGAAATTAACTGCACATTCATAATGATGCCAAATTAGCTTCTCAAGCTGAAAAGAGCTATAAAGAAAAAGAAAAATCACAGCATGCTCACCTGAAATTACACACAGAGACTGGATTGCCAGTGAATTCAGCATTGGCTTAATTGTCAATCTTGCATCTTTTTAATCTCAGGCTGCCCACCTTCTCTAAACATGATGTAACTTTAGTAGTTTGCTTGTCCTCATGCCTTTAAAACACCAAACAGCTGTGTTTATGGAGGTGGAAGGTTTTAGTGACCTTATGTGTAACAGATAACATCACACATTCAAACCTACAAAATCAGATGAAGATTATAATAATGGCAGCAACAATAGTGGCAATGATTGCTATTTTTCCTGTAATGCCTATTACTCAAGAGCCAAAAATATTCTGGTTTTAATTGGAGACTTGCTCAGAATGTCCCCATTGCTTTAAAAGTACTGTTTATCATGATGATGATATAATTATATGTAATTATTAATATAGTGTGTACGAGGCATATTAGAATAATAATAATGCTGGCTAGTCCCACTTGTAGTATATGGCTGCTATGTTACATTTCAAATGAATACCAGGACCAGCCATTTTTAATGTAACTGTATTTTAGATTGCTTCTAGGGTATTTGTTGTAATGTTTCCTTATGTTTTAGTTAACTATGTCTTATTGGATTGTTTTGTTTTATTTTTCATCACAATGCTTAATTCTTCATCATAAGCTCACTGTTATTACTGATGCTTTATTGTGTATTATTTTGATAAGTTTGTGCTCACCAGAGGCATTGAATGTTTCCCTTTTTCTGTGTGTAAACCACCCTGGGTCGCTTTGGGGAGAGATTATTGTTATTGCTGTTGTTGTTGCTGTTGTTCCACATTTCCTTTCACCTTTCACCTTTGTTTGTGTTCTTCAATTGTTGGTAATTGCTGTCACATTGACTTTGACTGATGGTGGGCCTATGAGCTTCAGTGGACCACGTATGCTAAGAAATGGGATGGGGTTCTTCCATATTTCTTCAGTTTTCAGAGTCATCATTCATGATAACCTCCTAGATTGTTTGACTAATCATGGCCATCCTTTTGTGATGATTTTCCTGCATAGAAGATGGTAGATGCCGTATGTTCTCCTGTCCTATTTTTATTTTTATGTTTATTTTTAAAATAACATTAATATTTAATTTTATTTAATGTTTCTTTATTTTAGGTTTTAAATTGTATTGCATTTGGTTTTACTGTTAGCCACTTTGAGTCTCTTTTGTAGAGAAAGAAAGCAGGGTATGAAAATATAAACAAATAAATATCTCAAAAGACTCCTCATGGAGTTGAGCATCAACATGAAACTGTGGGAGTGGGATATTTTCTAAAGATCTGGAATTCACTGTCAGCAGTATGTTGACAGTGAGCAGACTTATTTATCTTTTCCACCTTGGGCCAAGGAAGCAGTGAAAGTTTTAAATAATTGTATAGGATTAATAAATGCTTGTATCTGATTTAGGAAATCAAATCTTAGTGCAGGCAAAACCGAAGAGTGTTCTTCCAAAAGAACTGATCATGCACTGTGTTAATCTGGATTTAGAAAAGATTGCTTTGTCATTTAAATATGGTCTTTGGTTTTGAATTTTTAAGATGACAGCTGTGGCAGGGATGCCTTAACTGAGTTCAAACCAAGGCATCACTTTACCCATTTCAGGTGGTGATAAACCTGGCATGATTACACAACTGTATGAGTACTGTGCTATATACATAACATCATTCAAAGACTGTGCAGAAACTTTAGCTCGCTCGAAATGTAGAATATTCAACTGGAGCTGGAGTTTTGGGAACATTGATTATTCTTTCATTCATATCCACTCCACAGATGTCTGCTCAGTTTTTGAGCACATTTCAAAGTATTTGTTTGATTTCAGAGTAGTGGGTCTTTGATCGGGTCTATCAGATTCTGAAAAGGTTTCTTTTTAAAGTCATGGAACTCTTTCATAATCTGTCAAAAGCTAAAACTTCCCCCACCCCACCTGCCTGCCCACATATAATTGTATAAATATATAGTCTTGTGTGTAATTTATTATTCAGCCTATAGAAATGTAACTTCTTAAACTATCAGGCAGTCTTTACTGCTACTTTCTTGTGTGGTAGTAGTGAAACCTCTGCTATTCTACCACAGCTGTGTTAAACATCTCAAATGATTGTTCTAGACAGCTCTCATTCTCTAATCAAACACATATTGGTGTGAGAAGCCTTTTAACTCTTTGCTCCCACCAATGTCCTGGTGATGACCGGGGGCTCTGTTTCCTCCTCAAAAAGGAAAGAACCAAGAGATGTGTGGTGAAATCGAATTGTGACAGAGGTAAAGGAGAAAGGCCTAACTCCACTGTTTTATCCCAATCAGCATTGACTCTTTAACTAAGTGTGAATTTTTGGAGCCAACACTTGTTTAAATTATGTCCTGGTTCTCTTCTATATGGAACCCTGTGGCAATGGCTCAACTCCAGATGGATGAATTTAGGCTTAGGTATCTCTCACTTTCATCAGTATGAAAATCCAAATCCCAAACACTCACCAGTAATTTCTCATACAAAAATGTGTTTAGGAACCAGTTGTTAGCATCGTCATTTATTTATTTATTTAAAACTTTTATATCCCGATCTTCTCAACTTCTGTTGAGTCTGGACAACAAAAGGAGGAAGATAAAGAGAGTCAGGGAAGCCAACAAGCTTAACTGAGACCAAGCCGAAGAAAGCACTAAAAGATGGAGAGGAAAAATACAGGGAAGACAAAAGGAATTGCCGGTGTTCACCAACATTTCAACCATTAAATGCCATGTCTTTACTATTGTGATTCTTAATTACCTTTGTCACCATGGCAACCCATATGGCTTTTTTTTAAAAAAAAAACATTCACCACTTCCTTTGTGCCATATGGCTCTCTGTCTGTTAAAGATCATTGGTGTATTGGGACCATAAGAGAACATATTGATGAAGTACATGCCTAATTGGGCTACGGCTGAGCCCTGAAAGCCTGGCATGTTTCTTCGATCCAGACAGGCACTGCCACTGCCACATTTCAAGCATTTCAAGAGCATCAGCTGCACTGGGATTCAGCAAATGAATCCGCCAAGGAAGCCTGACTCTGTGAAATAAGTTATTTCAAAGCAATTGGTCCCATCGCTATCATTTGGCATTTACAGCCATTCCTCAGGGCCTACAGATGTTTGCCAAAGGACTGCACATCCCGGTCATGTTCCTTTTTTGGCTGGGTGAGAAGAGCACAAAGAGTCAGAACAAGAACTCATCCATATTTGCAGTGTGCAGGAAATATATGAATTTGAGCTCTCTTGCTTTTGAGGTCTCACCTGTAGATTCAAGTATAGACTCATATAAAGCAGATTTAATTGCATTAAACTGGATTATATCAGCCCACATTACCATATAATCCATTTCAATGCAGCTAATCTGCATTCTGAAACTGCAATATATGGCAGTGTAGTTGGGGCCTGAGAATCAAAATGCTGTTCCATCAGAAAGGGGAAGACGACAACTTGGAAGTGATGAAGCTGTTCCCATAGCACATCTGCAGAGAGGAAGATGGCAGTACCCACGATGATAATAAAAAAGGAGATGCTATTATCATGATCATCCAAAGTTCTTATGAAAAGATAAAGAAGCAGACTTACCAGTTGGAGTGATGCAACAGATGCCTGAAGAGCAGCCAAGCCCTCCTTCTGTTCAATAGATCAGTTTAGAATCAGAATAGGAAGAGGTAGAGGATGGGGAGGACTCACATCCTAGGAAAAGGTAGATATTCAATTGTCTGGCCCACACCCTTTTCTTCAGATGCAGTCAAAGTCCCAAGAAGAGCACAACTGAGGAACATGCTCGTTAAATTCAGCTGGAAATGTCCAGACACTTCTACTATAAAAGATAAAGAATATCAGCTCGCTCTTGAGAGCAACATTATTTCTAGCTCTCAAGCTCTTGGCTTGATTCCCATGTTCTTGATGGATTTATGTTTTCTGGATGTCTTGGCAATGTGACTACAGATAACTGCTGAACATCTGGCTCTGTTCAACAGCATTCCTGACCTGCTTTATCTGTTGCTACTGACAACACGTTTTTAAATACAAGATCTTGGCTTCTGATGGCAGCTCACAGATGTTGAACACCAGACTTTGTTAAAACAAGGACAGGAAGGTATTGTGTGTCCACCCCAGTAGTATGTTATTTAGGAAATAGCTTGATCTGTGACAAACCTTCTTCTGAGGTGCAAGTACAGCACAGTTGTATCCTCTTCCTTTTTGGGGCACTTCTGGGAATGCCTTCCACTTGGGATGGGCATTCCTTGAGGCAGGAAAGCAAAGTTGTTGTTGTCACATCCTCCTCCTTATTTGGGGCAACAGAGACATGGAGCATTCAAAGCACCTCTCAGCGTATAGGAAGATGCACAGCAAAATTGTGCCAGGAGAGAAGGAAAGCACAACTTGCCAGTCCCATCATCTGAGATAATGAAGGCTTTGAGAATTTTTGAAGCACACTTAGTTTACATCTTATGAGGAACTAAGAATGGAAGCATTCCTATTAATGGACACTCTGCTCCATTTCTGGCAAACATCCCCCCTCCCCCATTCAATCCATCATTAATTATAATATTTAGATTGTGGCTAGAATCACGCTGCCCTGCAATTTGCAGCATCCCTTGCCATTTCATGGTAAATTTAATGGAAGTTGTAGTTTAGTAACATCTGGAAAGCAGCATGATTCCCATCTTGATCTAGAGAAATCTTCAATTCCAAATTATTGAATTTGCTAGTTGTCATATTATTTATCACCAAATGCTCCAGTTAGTACAATATCATAGCCTACCTTGTTTCCATCAGACCATGTAATAATCTAATGAGGTTTTGTTTCAGAGGGACTTCAGCACACTGGATACTTTAAAATTTAGACTAAAGATGCATCCACACTGTAGAATTAATACAGTTTGACCCCACTTTCATTGCCATGGCTCAATTCCATGCAACCATGGGAGTTATACTGTAGTTTTACAAGGTTTTTAGCCTTCTCTGCCAAAGAGTGCCTCATCAAAGTACAACTCACAGGACTCCATAGCATTGAGCCATGCCAGTTAAAAGGGTGTCAAATTGCATTAGTCCTATAGTGCAGATACACCCTTGGTCCGTTTTAGAGATGCGTTCAAGATTGACATAATGTCCCTTTCTGGAAAGCAATAGAAAAACTTGCAAGTAAAGCAGCACACTTATATTACTCTTCTTCCATCTAGAGGCTTATTATCACAGGCAGAACTAATAATAGTGCCAGGCCTGGGTCAAATCAATACTCTCTCCCCTCTCTTTTCCTCTCCTTCACTCCAACGCCTCCCAGCTCAGTATTGATCTTGTTCCTTGTCATAGGGCTGGTCATACTGAACAAATAAGAATTATACGTTCACCCAGTTGGAAAAGACAACACACCATCTAATACAAGATGCTTTTTCCAGTGAGGGGTTGGAAGGGCAGAGACACACACATTTGTTATTTTTCTGAGATGTGGAATTATGATAGTCCGTTTTAATGTATGTAATTTATGCTAATGTATTTTAACTGCATTGTACTCTATCTCGAACTATGAGAAGAGGTGGGTAATAAATAAAAATTGTTTTTGTTATTGTTATCATCATCATGCTTCAAGTCACTTCTTGTCGCATCTGGTCTGAAGCTTTACATGCTCTTGCTGCTCTTGCTGCCTATTACAGGGAAAACTAGCTGATTCCTAATCCATCTACAATACAGATGTGTGCTTTTCATATTAAGGATGGACAAGCATATTGAGTTATGAGGATTACCTGGGAAGGAATCCCACTGGAGCATTGCAGCACACCCAAATACCTGGGAGTTACCCTGGACTGTGCTCTGACCTACAAGAATATCAAGCAAAAAGTTGGTGCTAGAAACAATATCATATGAAAGCTGACTCCCACAACCTGGGGATCACAACCAGATACAGTGAAGACATCTGCCCTTTCACTGCTACTCTGCTGCTGAGTATGCATGCCCAGTGTGGAACACACCTCGCCACGCTATAACAGTGGATGTGGCTTTTTATCAGACATGCCACATTGTCACAGGATGCCTATACCCCAAACCAGTGGAAATATTATACTGTTTGGCCAGTATTGCACCACCTCACATCCACTGGGAAGTAGCAGCTGATAATTAAAGGACCAAGGCAGTGACATCTCCAGCCCATCCTCTGTTCAAATATCAGCCAGCACACCAATGCCTTAAATCACAAAATAGTTTTCTAAGATCCACAGAGATACTCTCATGAACACCTCAGCAAGCAAGAGTCCAAACGTGGCAGACTAAAACCCAAACCTCAAGCCATGGCTGATACTGAATGAGAGACACCCCCTGGGCACAAGAAGGCTGGGCAACTTGGAAGGTCCTGAACAGACTGCACTCTGGCACCACGAGATACAGAGCAAACCCATCTGTCAGGAGTGATTTGAATGCAGTATTCCTGCTTCTTGGCAGGGGGTTGGACTGGATGGCCCATGAGGTCTCTTCCAACTCTTTGATTCTATGATTCTTTGAAATGGGGCCTCAAAGTGGAGTCCACAGCATGCAAGCGTGGAGAAGAGCAAACCACAGAACATCTATTACAATGCAGTCTGAACCCTGTTCACGTTTATTTCTTCTAGTGCCTGGAAGACTTTTTGCCAACTAATCTCAATGGTTGTTGTTGTTGTTGTTGTTGTTGTTGTTGTTGTTATATTTATATTTATATTCTGCTTTCTTTAGAAATTTGGCACTTAAGATGGCTCACAATTTAAAAGAACAATATAATTAAATACATACAAAAGGTAAATATTAAGATAGAATTAAATAAATGACAATATTAAAACAATTCACATCTGATTTGAGTAAAATAATAAAATATAATTTTAAAAAAGGAGAAACTGTGAAAGAGAATTGCAAACTAGAGTGGAACTTCAGCTTCAGATTATAATTTTGAGCCCCTTAGACCCTTAGACTACTTCATTTCCCTCTTCAGCGGGGTGTGCAAAGGTAAATACAATTTTTCCTGGGTGTCAGCCAGAATAATTAGACTCCTTCTCTGACCCTGAAGGATGAGTGTAGAATTGTTTTCCTCCATAGTTACAAGGGCTTCTCTACATTGTTGTTCTTGTGTGCCATCAAGTAGTTTCCAAGGTGAACATATCACAGGCTTCTCTACATTGTTGTTCTTGTGTGCCATCAAGTAGTTTCCAAGGTGAACGTATCACAGGCTTCTCTACATTCCTGTTTTTGTATGCCATAAAGTAGTTTCCAAGGTGAATGCATCACAGGCTTCTCTACATTGCTGTTCTTATATGCAGTGAAGTAGTTGCCAAGGTGAACATATCACAGGCTTTTCTGGGGCTGAGAGTTTGTGACTCACCCAAGGTGACCCACTGAGTTCCCAAGGCGAGCAGGGAATCAAACTCTGGTCTCCAGAGTTTTAGTCCAATGCTCAAGCCACTACACCATGCACGCTATTCATTACTTTGTGTTGATTTGTTAACTGCTGCTGCTGTAAGGAAAATGTCAGGAAAGAGAGGCAGTTTGCAATGCCTTCCACTTAATCTAATCATCAGATAATTAAATCAAAAGATCAAGACCAAAATAAATTGGTAATAAAAACGAATACAGCTTCCGTCCATTATTAGATTTCTTCTAGGAAGAAGTAACAGGATAATGCAATTCACTCACTCTATAAAGTTGCCGTAATTAGAAAATTGCAATGTGATTATTATAGCCTACCTAAGGCATAATAAGAAAAAAAAGTCGTCGTCCCCCTCCCCGGTCTATTCACCCTAGTAGCATGTGGGAAATGGAATTAATCCCTGCTGCTCCCTTTACTTTCCAGCAACACAGAAATAGCCATCATGCAGGAATTGCTATGTTGAAAAGGTGGTCAATGCATGCTCAGAAGAGAATTCCATCATCCTCAACTTCTAAAGAAATGGTTTATGATGATCTAAGTTGCACTTACACCATTGTAATTCACTAACTGAATGCCAGGCACAGTTAAAAACAATACCCAGCAAAATTCAAGAAATTAAAAATCAGTACTGTTGAAAGAGGTATGATTAAATAATCCTTTCTTGAGTTCCTAGGTGCTATGGTTTCTTTTACAGTGGTCACTTGGTGTTCAAAGCGGCTGCCTGCTGATGCCAACTTGTTTAATCTCTGCTGAGAATTGAGCTCAGACACTGTCCTTTTCATCAGAACCAGTCCACCTGTCTATTGCCAAGGGTAAAGGAATAAAGTAAATTGTAGGAGGTGTCTATGAATAAGTTCCAGTTCACTGAAAGTTTTGCCAAAGTTCATGTCACCAAGATCTGAGTGATGCATCTGTCTTCTCAGATGATCATCCTATCTTTATAAAAGAATAATTTGATGTATGGAGAAATAAAACATCCCCCTTCCTCTATTCTCTTTCTCTGTTTCCTTTTGAAGAACCTCTGCCTGTAACCAATGTTTCAATCTATGACTATAAACCATCACCTGAAACTGGAGTGTTGTTTGAAATCCAATATCCAGAGAAGTACAACGTTTTCAGCAGGGTGAATATAAGCTACTGGGAAGGAAAAGACTACCGGACGATGTTATACAAAGGTGGGTATGACGTGAATTTCCTATACAAAGTTATTACTAAAGGTTGAGCATATCTTATCTGGAGTTCCAAAATCTGGAATGCTCTAAAATCCACAGTTGTTCATATGGGTGGTTGAGATAGTGACACGTTTGTTTTCTGGTGGCTCAGTGTACACAAATTGTGCTTCATACACAACATATTTTTTAACTTGGTATGATTTGATTTTGTAAAGCTCTGTTTTGAGTTTTGATGCCTCTGCACTGCAGAAGTAATGCAGTTTGACACCACTTTCACAGCCATGGCTCAATATTATGGAATATTATGGAATCATTGGAGTTGTGGCTTGATGGGACATCCATAAGGATACCAATGTGCTTGTTTATAAATCTGTTGTTCTCCCAACCCTGCTATATGCCTGCAAAATGTGAACTATCTACAGATATCACATGCAAGTCCTGGAAGGATTCCATCAGCATTGCCTCTGAAAAAATATTGCAAATCTCCTGAGAAGACAGGCGGACAAATGTTAGTGTGCTGGAAGAAGCAAAGTGATGGACTGGCCATGTTGTCTGAATGCCCGACCACCATCTCCCAAAGTTGCTCTACTCCGAGCTCAAGAATGGAAAACAAAATGCTGGAGGACAGGAAAAGAGATTTAAAGATGGGCTCAAAGCCACATTAAAAACTGCGGCATAGACACAGAGAATTGGGAAGCCCTGGCCCTTGAACGCTCCAGCTGGAGGTCAGCTGTGACCAGCAGTGCTGTAGAATTTGAAGAGGCACGAATGGAGGGTGAAAGAGAGAAATGTGCCAAGAGGAAGGCACATCAAGCCAACCTCCTTATGTCTGAAAACAAATGCCATCAATGCAGGAGAACATGCTGGTCAAGAATAGGGCTCCACAGTCACCTACGTACCCACCACCAGTACACCGAACTTGGAAGACAATCTGACTCAGTCAGTGAGGGATCACCTAAGTAAGTAACTAAGGTTTGATGAGGAAGCAGCACTATGTGGCAGAAAAGGCTGAAGTCCTTGTGAAATGACAGCTTTCATGATTCCATAGCATTGAGCCATGGCGGTTAAAGTGATGTCAAGCTGTGTTAATTCTACAATGTAGAAACACTCCTGGACTGTGAAAAGGGCAAGGATACAAATATAAAACAACATCAAAAAGGTTGACAGGAGGAGGTAAATTAGCCTTTGGAAACCAACAGAGTTTCAGAAGAGAAACCAGGATTTCTACATGAAATAAACAGTTCTGGTGCTACTCCACTCACTTCCTAGCCTGGATGGCACCTTGTTTTTTAATTATGAGTCTGCATCCAGCCACTAAATCCCTGACGTAACTTTAAAATGTCAGTTTCTGTGTCTGGTTGTTCCATTGTGGACATTTCATACAATTTCTCCCTTGGTAGTTTGGCCTGAAAAAAGCCCCTTGTGTACACTTAGTATCAAGGTTGGGGGAGATGAAATCATCTGTCCTTTGAAATGTTCAGTGTACATATTACCACTTGCAATTACTTTGCAAGCTTTCATGTTTATTTCCCTGTTTTTTCTTCTTCTAAGTACTTTTGACAGTCAGAAAGGAAAAGAGCAGAGAATGGGAAAAAAGAGGAGAGACAAAAAGAAATTATAGGACACGAGGATGTTAACTTTTTTAAAAAGACAGGCCTTTAATACAGAGCCAAATGGTACCTTCTAAAGAATGTGAATTTGAGTCTTTGTGTCCATTTAGCATGTACTATTTTGTTTACTTCTTCATAGATTTTTTCAAAGGCAAAACTGTTTTCAATCACTGGCTGCCAGGAATATGTTATAGTAACATCACATTTCAGTTGGTATCTGAAGCAACATTCAACAAAAGCACGCTGGTGGAATATAGTGGGATTAAGCATGAACCAACACAGCACCGTACAGGTAAAAATGAGAAATGTATTCAGGTACAGCAAATTCATTTGAGTGCTTTTCAAAGGTGGAGTGTCATGTTCAATTGCTATTAAGGAGCAATGAGTTTTGGGACATCTTTAAAATGAACTAATTATGATAGATTATTATAATTGGAGGGATATAAAGCCACAAGTTTTTCAAAGTAACTATCCAAGGTCTTGAACCTATTTTGGAGATAGAGTTCAATACCTCAGATAGTTCCTTTAAGTTCAGGCCAAAACCTGGAATGAATTCATTTGCCCCACCGGAATGAAAGCCACCAAGCATCCCTGGGGGTGAGAACATATTGAAACGAAGTGCACTATAGTAAAATGAAAGGACAATTATGTTATTAAGATCAGCCATTAATAAACCTGATAGTGGTGGATCAAACATCCTTACATATTTTTTTACATAGTTAGCATGCATGATAGTTGTAATAATAAGTATCTGGCATTGGCACAAACATCTCAGCAGGGTTTTATAAAATTATAATTGGTCATACACAAACCTGCTTCAACATCCTGTGTAATAAATGCAATTTGCTAAACAACCAACATCCTGATTCAAACATTTGGTGACAAACTCTGAACTGTCCCATGATGACGCTCATCTTTTTCAATGAATTTGTACATGTAATTAAAAAACTTGTCAGGATACCTAAATCCATTTTATGAGGCAGGAAAAAGGCTGTTTTTGCAGTCCTGTTTGTGTTGCCCTTCCACCACTGACAATTTGACTTTGCCAACTTCATTGTTAATGTGCTGCCCTGCATCAAAATCTCATTAGGGCTTAGACTAGCTTCCTCATTCTTATCCTTCCTTTTTTTGTTTATTTCCTGTTTTCCTTGTTCTATGCTGACTTCCTTTTTGTGTGCAAAAATGACCACAACAAATTCAGTGACAGTTCAACTCCTGCCATAGATTCCTAGAGGTCCAGTGCAAACTTCTCTAGCTCCTCCCATCTCCGATCTAGTACAATATTATGTTATCGTTGACAGCTGACAAAATATTTCCAAAAAGTTATTGTGTTCTATCAATTTAGCACAAATTAGTAGGAGCTTGTTGCTTCTTTGCTATTGCAGTGGTGAATATGCTCCAACTATTACTCTGCCCAGAGTACAAAATCCTACCCTCAAAATAGGCTCAGCACCATGGATAGCTCCTTTAAATTTGGAATTGATTTGCTCTCCCAATTCCTAGCCACCACAGCATCAGTTGCATCTTCTTTTGTGGAAAGCCTCCATGTCCAGAAAGATAGGAGACAGGGTTACACTTGTTTTATTTTCATAGTATTCTTGTGAGGTAGGTACCTACCCAAATTGTTTCCCAGTGTGTTTAATGGTTGGGTAGAACTGTTAAACCAGGGAGACTTTGGTCTTAGCCTGGAACTTGGAAAAGTGATTTGTTTTGGATTACAACTCTCACAATTTACCAGCCATGGGTGCAGAAGTTGTTGACTTTATAGTCCAAAAAGTAACTCTTCTAAGCTTCATCTACGCCTAATAGACTATCCATGATGCCCCAGTTTGAAAGGCACTTTTCACAATGAGATCTATATTGGTCAGTCTGGCAAAGCAGTTTGCTTCTAGGAACTATCTCATATGCTGACATATTTAAAGGAAGACAAGTTACCCTTCATTATGCTCTAGGCCATTTATATCAGATTGCAGACAAATGATATTATGCTGCATTTCCTCCCACTCCCCCATTCTCTTGCACTTGATCAGTTTATGCCTTGAAGCATGAAGACTTAGACTTCAAAAATACACAATAGGCCTTGACAGGATAGCTGTGTTATACGAATTGAAAATGACATTTGGGCAAAGTCTGGAACATATTTTAATTCCATTTTGGAAGCATGCCCAAGTACTTCTTCTTAATCTTATAGGGCAGTAGGCCAGGCAGTTGTACTCCAACAGAGGGCATGCATGCTTCCTTCCTTATTTTTCAGGTTGCTTTTTGTGAGGCTAAATTCAGTAAAAGCTTGGATGGAAGTGAGAATAGCCAATAGTTGCACTACAACTACCAACATCCTTCAATGCTAGGTGTTCTGCCTAGGACTGATGAGATTTGTAGTCCCATCATCAGATGCAAAAAAAAGGCAATAACACACATGAAAGAAAATAAGTATTTTATATTAGCACCTCTATTTTCTACTTAGAAAAGCAACCTTTCTAAGAAATGTTGCTTATATTATGAGACTTATTTTTTATTTTTAAAAACTCACCAGAATTTTTTTAGTATGAACCTAGAAATTTCTCAGCATGTGTAGTTTTGTACTGACACGAGCTCTACATCTGATATACTCAGCTGGTTGCTGGATTATTTCTCTGTCCATTGGGACAGTCAGTTTTAATGAAAGATGAAAAAAGCTTTATCATGGTCACAATGCAGTTTAATTTGTGTTAAATCACTGCATTTATCAAAATCCTACTTACTTCCTCAGAATTCCTTTAATGCTTTTCTGAAGGAAGACCTAACAACCTGTGGCCAGGATTTTGTTTTAGATCAGTGGTTCTCAGCCTGGGGTCCCCAGATGTTTTTGGCCTACAACTCCCAGAAATCCCAGCCAGTTTATCAGCTGTTAGGATTTCTGGGAGTTGAAGGCCAAAAACATCTGGGGACTCCAGGTTGAGAACCACTGTTTTAGATAAACTGAATGATCATTATAGAATCTCAATAACCACATTATCATTCCCCAAATACCTTCACCATCCATGATTTGGATGTGGGTTGATCAAGCTGAAAGCTGCTGTATTTTGGTTCAGAACCTAGCCAACTGGGATTTCCATCAGGGAAATCAGTAGAGGAGAAATATTTTAGAGAAGTAGAAAATATGAAGATCATCAGCACCATTTTAGTTGTTATTAATTCAGTAAAGGTTGGTCAGCTCATCAAAAATACTCATCCAGTTTTGCAAAGCTCTGTTGTATTCTTCTAGTTATCAAACCATATCGTGATTGGGTGAACTAATTCCTATTGAAAGTGATTTTTTAAAAAATAAACTTGTTTCTTTCTTTTCCAGTTCCTTACCCTCCTCGAAACATTTCTGTGCGTATCGTACATATGAACCTCAATGAGAACTGGGAAGAACACAGTGGGGATTTCCCAGAAGAATCCTTTCTCGAAAACCAGAATGCTATGGGACAAGAAAATATTCCCCATGTTGAGGATGATCTACCGGTGCTCCCAACTATGAACACTTCTTATACATGGCCTGAATATCACTATAACAGCAGCGATTATGAAACCACGTCTCAGCCAGATTGGTGGATTAATGAACTGGACTCCCCAGAGAATGAGGATGAGTTTGTCAATGCAGTGCCAACAGATTATGAAAACATCAACCCAACTGCTGAATTTGGGACACCTTCACCTAAGCCTTCTTCATTCCTCCCAGTGCAAATGGTGCTGAGCTGGTTGCCCCCAAAACCACCCACAGCATTTGATGGCTTCCATATTCATATTGAAAGAGAAGGTAATGTTCAGAATAGGTGGCTGTCATGTAAGTGATAGGTGGTCAGTCTGCTTTGGCTTTTAGTTGAAATTTTTTAGGAGCTATCCAAGGTACCAAATCTAGTTGGAGAATAAGGAGTCATTACCTTGAATAGCCTATTTGAGGCACAGATTTAACATCCCACTGACATGGAAGCCACCAGCTGCCACTGGGCAGTAGAACAGCATCTGCTGTATAGTAGCAGGCATTTTGGGGAGAAGCAAAGCTTGCTGTAATCTTTGGTAAACCCTGATTCATTGACCTCATTGTCACTTCTCTGTGCACACACCTGTTCACTACCATGAAGCAAAGTAAAGAAGCTTCCCAAGATTAATGAGCTAAGGAGTAGTGGCATGGTGGGGAGATCTCATACAACAGAGCACATGAGCTTTTGTGACTTGCAAATATGACCTGCTGCCTTCAAGTACTACAAGTGCTGAGTTTACTGGCTCACCTCTTGATTCAGTTAGAAGCCATGGTGGATTATGAGCTATAGTCTTCTCTCTTTTTAAGAAAAAAATAATAAAGCAGTATATACATATATACATGCTTGGTGTAGGGTTAGCATCCATGGACCGAAGCCTAAGCTGAGGCTTATGTCTTTGTTTCTGCTCTGCTTTAGGCAGCAAAGTGTCTTCAGCCACTCCTAAGCAGATAGGCTCTCACAGTTGTTTACCAGTCTATGCTGACTGATTGACACATATAACATTGTACATACAGTCTGCCTGCAGTGCTTTCTGTTCAGGTTGGCATAGAAAATGCACAGGTGGAAGCTTTCTGCATACCTGCACTTTAAGGGAATTTGTCTTAATTAAACTATCTGTAAAATATGATTGATTTGGTTTTGTCATGAGAACTAATTTCTTGGTTTTTTTGTTGTTAGATTTTACTCATTTTATTTGTGAAGTTGTATTTGATGTGATTAGTTAAAAGAAATGAAAAGGTAGTTTCATATTATTCATTATTTGAAATAGTATTAATATTATTAGTATTCTAATAGTATTCTAAACTAGCATATATCCCCAACCACATGAATTATAGTAGTTTTAAAATATGATATATAAACTAATTCATATTTAAATTGTGGTACCAATAGTTATTTGTCCTATCTTCTCACATGTTCTTCATGGAAGCAAAGGGAGTGACTTGGAGCTGTTGAATATTGTAACATATTCTTGGACATGCCCTTTATCATTTTTCCCATATGTCTTTCCCCTCATCTTTTAACATTGGGAAGATTTTTCCACTCTTACATAGCAAGGAAAAGAGACACATTCAGTTTTGTTATTTTTCACTTTAGTGCTCACATTAACACTTGCATTAATGTGTTGTATATTTATTTGCTTTTATGTTATCTGGCATTTAATTATTGCCAAACTGGAAGCCATCTGAGTCCCCTTTGGAGTGAGATACAGCGAGGTAAAAATGTAGTAAATAAACAAACACTTTCCTGGAATTTCCTGGAACATTCCAATTTTTTTTCTATTTTTGGCTTTGGTGCATTGGATCTAGTCCTTGTTAACTCTGTGAGTGATTTGATATAACCAAATCAATCAATTCCTGGCTTCTATAGCCCATTCGATGTTAGGTCACTCAGTAATAATCACTACAACTGTAGCTAGAAATCCTGTAAAATTCAGCCCATTCACATATTTTTCCTTTTCTTGATTTAGAGAACTTCACTGAATTCCTAACAGTGGGTGAGGACATCCATGAATTTGTTGCTGATCTGAAAGAACCAGGGAAATACATGGTATCTGTTACAACGTTTAGTTCGTCTGGGTCATGTGAAGTTCGAGAAAGCCGATTAGCCAAAAGACTCAGTTTTTATATTAGTAAGTCACTATGTAATTATCTTATACATGTGCAATATACATCCTAAAGCAAGACTGGAGAGTATATGTCCATCCAGATGCTGTCAAACTATAATTTCCAGCATTCCTTATCTCGGCTGCCAGGGTTGATGAAATTTGCAGTTTCACAATATCAAAAATGCTGTGCCTTTCCCATTAATGTCTTCATTTTTTGCTTTCTGGGTTAAGTTGAAGGTGAATATGTTGTATCCAGACAGACACTGAAATCACCTATACCAGTAGTTCTTAACCGGTGGTCTGTCAGCCGCCCGCAATGTCCTCAAGGACAATGTGCAAAGGCTTCAAGAAATGTTATAAGATTATTATTATTATTATTATTATTATTATTAATAATAATAATAATAATAATAGTAATAATAATGGGATCAAATATTATATTAGGACTGTGTGAATCAAATATTATAAAACTGTCAGAATTTACTTATTTCTCCCTCCTCTCCAAATCTGAAGATCTTTGATGAGCAACTTCAAATAAATATTAGATGCACTTTAGGGTTTTAAATCTGGAGTTGAGGTCCACAGCAACAGATGGTCCTTCAAGGAATCTATAGAAAAGGAAAGGTCTACACAGTTATTTGGCAGTTAGTCCCACTGAAATCGATTAAGCTTATGTGTGAATAGACACTTAATAGGATGGTATTGTAATTCAGTTACCATAAGTCCCATGTAAATAAATGGGATATGTTGATTAAGACCTGTTGGTCTTAATGGGCACCAAATGCTTTGTCTTGATCCAACACGAATATGCAAAGCCTGGGGGAAAATGCTTGTTGAACCTCAACTCTTAGAATTCCAGCATGGCCAGAAAAAGTAATTTTTCGGGCTCTATGAATTTGATTACCAATGAGAGGGTGTGTCTTTGAAGATGATTTCTATCTGCTTCTGATATTATTTTAGGCCCTACAGGGGAATGGATAGAGGAACTAACTGAGAAACCTCAGAATGTCATGGCAACTGTGCTAAGCTCAACCACTGCCTTACTCTCATGGACAACATCATCACGGGAACCCAGCAACAGCAACAATACCATTGTATCTGTTGTATCACTGACATGCCAAAAACAGAAGGAGAGCCAACGACTTGAAAAGCATTATTGCACTGAGGTGAGAAACAGAACTGTCTTGGCTGGATCAGTTTGATGGGATAAGTTTTGACTTAGGCCCCTTCAACACAGCTGAATAAAATCCCACATTATCTGTTTTTAACTGGAATATATGGCAGTGTGGACTCAGATAACTCAGTTCAAAGCAGATATTGTGGGAGTTTTTGCCATGATATTTGGGTTATATGGCTGTGTGGAAGGGTCCTAAGTTGTCTGAGCAAATTGATTAAATCACTTTAACTGACACGTGTCGGTTCCATTTGCTTCAGTTGTGCTGCCCTGGGCATGACTTAAGTCAAGATGTATATTGGGTTTTTATTTTATATGACATTGAAATTTATTAGTGTTGAGGTCTGATTAGAATGTCCTGAAATAAACATACACAATGAAAGTCCTAAGAAAGAGCCTTGTTGTTGTTGTTGTTGTTGTTGTTGTTGTTGTTATTGTTGTTGTTGTTGTTGTTGTAAACCTTTAATTCATTTCTGACTTATGGTGATCATAGAATCTATTGTGGAAAGGAATTCAGGGAATTTTAATGCAAATGAAAAACATCAGTTTATTCGAATTGTGATGCCAGAGGAGCATTCTGTGGACACCATGAGACTCCAGAAGACAAATAAATGGGTCATAGAGCAAAGCAAGGCTGAAAACTCAAAATGACTAAGCTGAGGCAATGGATATATCAAGGGATGGTGTGATTTTTTTTTAATATAAGTGTGTATGCAACTATGCATAACACTAATGATACCACAGGGCCCACTCTACATTTCAGGTTTTGGCTCATAAATGTTTGGTCCTGGGACACTCCTGAGCTGGCAAGTCTAATTCCTTCTCTGCTTTTTCCTTACTCTGTTTAACTTCTCTAGGTGAACACAAGTAGCAGCTTCATTGAAAACCTTGTTCCTGGTGCTCAGTACAAAGTTGTGATCTACTTACGGAAGGGACCCCTGGTTGGGCCTCCTTCTGATCCTGTTACATTTGCCATTGGTAATCACCTTACATGTGCTCTCTTTCTTGTTTTTGGTCATTGAAATAAATGGCTCTTTTTATTTAGGAAAAGGGGAATGAGTATAGTACTGCTGAACTGCAGTACCTGAATATTAGAATGAGGTGTTGTGGTAGGATTGAGGGCCAAATGTCTTCTCCTGGGATGCTCAAAAATCCATATGGGTTACTTGAAATCTTATACAAAACCAATGGGAATCCACTTGTGGTTTTGAAGGATGTTTTATTTTAAAAAGTTAAGCAGTGTATGGTAATTACGTATGATTTATAAACTTCTGAAGGTTTCTGAAAGGCAGAAACCTTTCTGAAAGTCGGATAACCTCCCCTTATCTGGGGAAGGCAGAAAAAAGTGCTGTGGAGGCAGTCTGAATGACTTTGGGATGGCATGTGGGAGTGAGGAGAACCAAAGAAGCATCTTACATCCTTACTTGTCCAGTGCCATTTCTCATGCTTTCAATCCCATCCACTTGGTAGAACAGCATTCAGATAGAGTCTGTGCATGAAGTGTACATCTGATGGCAGTTATAGGTCCAAACATCAGGAGCACCAAAGACTTCCCACTTTCATTTCAGGAGATATGATAGTTGCCTTGCTTTGAATCTAGCATTCCATATCCTGATCTTCATCATTCTCTCTATGTGGGGCTGCCTTTGAAGGTAGTTTGGAAGCTTCAACTAGCCACAGATCGGCAGTCAGGTTACCAACTTGAGCCTCGTACAGAGAGAGAACTATACCCCTGCTGCAGCAGCTCCACTGGCTGCTGTCTGCTTCTGGGCTAAATACAAAGTGCAGGTCATTACCTATAAAGTCCTAAATGGTTTGGACCCAGACTATGTGATAAACGACATATAAACCAGCTCGGGCACTACGGTCTGTGGAGGAGGCCCTTCTCTCAGTCGCACCCCCATCTCGAGCATGACTGGTGGGAACGAGAGACAGGGCCTTCTCCATGATCATCCCCTGACTCTGGAACTCCCTCCCCAATGAAATAAAAATGACCCCTCTCTCCTCTCATTTAAAAAACTTTTAAAAACCCATCTATGCTTTCTAGTTCATGGAGTGGAGGGGGACTAGAACATCTTTAGGTATAACCTCATCTGGAAACTGCGATTCATCCTGGCTCTGTTGGTTGCTGTAAATCATTCATTCATTTTAATGCATTTTAGTTGATTGCATTTTTATTATGCTGTATGTGTGACTGATATAGATCTATTTAATTACTTACCTTTTTGGATCGTTACTATAAGTTTGTATTGATGCGTTTGTTTACTGTTTTGATGTGGGTTGCTTTGATTCTATTATTTATTCTCCACTCAGTCTATTTGGATGGAAAGGATTGAGGGATAAATACCATCATATCAATGCAGTGTGCTTTTTTCTATACTTAGATCCCCCTTTCACTATTTTTCCAACATACTTTTCCTGTTATCTCCTTTGTTTTGGGTTGAGTAGCTGAATGCCCAGAAACTAAATGATAAGCTTTTACTTCTTGCAAACACATCTGTGTTTGTACTCTATCAAACACAGATGTGTTTGTAAGAAGTACAGGCTTATATGTCTCTTTAGCCTGTATATTCTCAATATACAGGCTAAAGAGACATATATTTTGCACAAAACTGTATGCAAATATGAAATATCATCAAGTTGAGGATGCCCGAGCCACCCAATTTTGCATTTAAAGTGCCTACATCTCATAATCAATGAAATAAGAGATAACACTTTCTAAAACTTGATTTGAAAATTGGGTACGTTGTGTTCAACTCTTCAGATTACTTGGAAAACTTTGGTATGATGGTTAAATAGTGCGGAGAAACACATATCCATACATGCTCATGCACAGCCTACCCCTTTAGTAGAAAAATCTTTTCAACTAATAGTAAAAAAAAAACATCAGTGTCTTTTTCATTTCTGTTTTGTAGTGCCAACAGGGATAAAGGATTTAACTCTTTATCCTTTGGGACCCACTGCTATGGTTCTTAGCTGGAACAGGCCTTACCTTGGTGTCTTCCGGAAATATATTGTAGAAATGTTTTATTTCAATCCTTCAACAATGACCTCTGAGTGGACAACATACTACGAAATAGCAGCAACAGTCTCTTTGACATCATCCGTGGTAATGTACCTTGGTTATAGTCTCTTACACATGGATATCCATACCTGCTTCCAAAGAAAATTCCTGCAGATTTAAAGAAAAATCTAAAGTCATGTTCGCATCATTAATTTATTAGATTATTCAAATCCAGCTATTCCTTCAGTAGTGTCATAGTCATTTATATGACTCTCTCTACCCAACTTGATGGAGAGAAAGCAAGAGGCCCAAGATCACTGAGGGTGCTTCACCTCTGTAGAATTAATGCAGTTGAACAGTATTTTAAATGCCAGTGCTCAATGCTATGGCATCCTGAAATTTGTAGGTGTTTGGGTCTCTGGGACTTTTGAACAGTAAAAGTTAAAGATCATGTAAAATTACAACTCCCATGATTCATAGTATTGAGCCATGGCAGTTAAAGTGATATCAAACTGTATTAAATCTACAGTGATAATGCAATGCACTCCTAGTGATTTCCAGGTAGGGACCTGAGCTGGCATCTCCCATGTTCAAATTCAACAGTGTTCTATACTGTACAGTTCACTAGATATGGATAATTTCCACCTGTGACTTATGGAAAGAGAGGCAGGGAATAACATCTTGCTTCAATCAAGCATGTTGACATAACCTCATTTTTAGATCTCATTTCTTCAACTCTTTTTCTTCCTGACCTTTCCTCTTGTTTACTCAGAGAATAGGCAACCTGCTACCTGCATGGTATTATAACTTTCGAGTTACTATGGTGACCTGGGGAGAGCCGGAGCTGAGCTGTTGTGACAGCTCCACTATCAGCTTCATAACAGGTAAAGTGGGATTTGATGAATGCTTGGCAATAAGTCCATTTTGGTTTGTGACTGTGAGGTTTTCTGCTCACCTGAGGACCATTTATTTATTTATTTATTTACTGCTTTTATATTCCACCCTTCTCTCCCCACAGGGGACTCAGAGCGGATTACAGTGTACACATATATGGCAAACATTCAATGCCAATTTTTGACATACAACATATACATATACAGACATAGACAGAGGCTATTTAACTTTTTCTGGCCGCCAGGGGAGCTGTTGCTTTCATCGTCCATCTGTGACACTGATGAAGTACTTCCGCATTCCCCGCATGCTTTTTGTTGGAGTGCTTGCTGGAGTCTTTTTTTATGGCCTCATAAATTAGTTAATTTAGCCTCCCCACACTTTAAGGTGGTACCTTATTTTCCTACTTGACAGATGCAACTGTCTTTCGGGTTGCAAAGGTCGACAACAGGTTACACAATGGTTGGAAACCCACTCCAACCCAGGCTGGCTTCAAACTCATGACCTTTGGCCAGAGTAATCTTAATGCAGCTGACACTCAGCCAGCTGCACCACAATGACTTGAAGGCACACAACAGCAATAGTAACCATTTACTTTATAATCCAGAGTTTGCTGCCTGAAGCCATTGCCACCGTTTGCCTTGAGATAGGGCTCTCTGTATTGGAATGCAAAACTTATATGTACCATTCAACATGGCTTGTGTCCTTTAAGCTAACCTGCTGATCTTAGGTCATGGTGAAGAATATTCTCCCTTGTACACAATGATAAACCATCAATATAATCAGCTTCTACATGCAGTAGGAGGGGGAGCAACATCATTTAAATGAGGCAACAGAACACCTTTGTCTAGTCCTTTTCCTCCTGCCTGATAGTAATCCTCCGTAGCTCAAGCACTTACAGATATATTCTGCTTATGGTGGTAGTTATAATACTAATGGTAAAAAATGTTCTTAATTAACCTCTGGTCTTCTTTCAGGTCCAAGACACACATGCATTTACAGTACAGGTTGTGACCTGTTCATAATTTGAATAGCATTGGAATATCCTTTGGGGAAAATGACAAGTCCCAAGGGCTAGGATTCTGCACTATTTCATCAGAATGAGGTTGAATTTTGGCCTGAGGCAACTTGAGGGAAAGAAAGAGCTCTGTCAGAGGCAGTGACAAAGGAAAAGAAAAGGAAGATAGCTACTCTGCTAGGAAAAGCAGGTCCCTTCCCTGTTTGGAATATATTTGTGTTGGTTCATTCTCTTGCCTCCAAAAAAACCTGGATCTGTTTTCACTGCTCGTGAACATAGCCCTGTGATTTGGAGGGCATTTGGTCTCTCTTTTACAGGGGACTGTAAAAGGAACACCTTGAAGTCCCTAAAGCCATTTATTTATTATTCCTTGGACAGCAATATTTTTTCCTTTGTTGCTCCAAGGAAGTCATTTTTATTCAGTGTTTGTCTTCGGCACAGCTTGTGCTTTGTAAAGGTGAGGGGCTGGTTAGCGCTCTCTTGAGCTCAGCATATGGGGCAATAAAGAACCAGTGTTTCTCTGTGTACGAGAGAAAGGAAGAAAAGGAAAAAGGAAGGAAGGAAGGAAGGAAGGTCATAACACTTTTATAACATACTAGCTGTGCCCTGCCACGCGTTGCTGTGGCGTTTAGTAAGAGTTTTGAAGTCTCTGCCTGGCCTCTCTTCCTTCCTTCCCTCGTTCTCTTTCCCTCTTTCTCTCTCTCACACTCCTTCCTTTCCCTTCTTTCTCTCTCTCTCTCTCTCTTTCTCTCTCTGGCATCCCTCCTTCCTCACCCTTCTTTATGCTTGTGTGTAAACTTGAGTATTTTCTGTTGGTCATGGGGGTTCTGTGTTGGAAATTTGCCCCATTTCTGTCTCTTTAATTGTAGTAAACTATAAATCCCAGTAACTACAAATCCCAAATGTCAAGGTCTATTTCCTCCAAACTCCATCTGCATATTTAGGCATATGGAAATTTTGTGTCAAGTTTGGTCCAGATCCATCATTGTTTGAGTCCACAGTGCTCTCTGGATGTAGGTGAACTACAACTCCCATGCTCAAGGTCACGGAGGGAAGGGGTGGGGCGAAGGGAGGGGGCGTGTCTTTCCGGAGGGGGAGGGAGGAGGGAAGGAGTGAGTCAGGGCGGGAAGGGGTGGGGCAAAGGGAGGGGGCAACTTTGAAGACACGCCCCCTCCCTTCGCCCCCCCCCTTTCCTCCCTGACTCACTCCTTCCCTCCTCCCTCCCTCTCTGGTTAGACACGCCCCCTCCCTTCGCCCCACCCCTTTCCTTCCAGGAGTGAATCAGGGAGGGAAGGGGTGGGGCGAAGGGAGGGGGCGTGTCTTGCGGAGGGGAAGGGAGGAGGGAAGGAGTGAGTCAGGGAGGGAAGGGGTGGGGCAAAGGGAGGGGGCAACTTTGAAGACACGCCCCCTCCCTTCGCCCCACCCCCTTCCCTCCATGACTTACTCCTTCCCTCCTCCCACCACCTCTGGAAAGACACGCCGGAAAGGAGTAAGTCACGGAGGAAAGGGGTGGGGCGAAGGGAGGGCGTGTCTTCAAAGTCGTCCCCTCCCTTCACCCCCACCCCTTCCCTCCCTGACTGAAGGGAGGGGACGACTTTGAAGACACGCATCCTCCCTTCGCCCCACCCCTTTCCTCCGTGACTTACTCCTTTCCGGCGTGTCTTTCCAGAGGTGGTGGGAGGAGGGAAGGAGTAAGTCACGGAGGGAAGGGGTGGGGCGAAGGGAGGGGGCGTGTCTTTCCGGAGGGGATGCGGCGCGGCGAGGCTTGGAGTGTGCAGAGCGGGGCTTGGAGGCAGCGTGGAGGAGATGAAGGAGGGGGTGGAGGGAAGGGGGCGGGGGAAGTTGCGTTGTTTGTGTGTGTGTGTGTGTGTGTGGGCGGTGACGTGTTCGTGCTGGGCGGGGCGAGGGAGGGAGGGAAGTGCGGAGGGTGCGTTGGCCGTTCGGCCATGTGTGCGCGCGCACTGGGGACTTTGCTCCAGTGCGCATGCTCAGTTGTTTTGGCGATTTATCTGTGTGTTGTTGTGTTGTTTTCAATTCTGAGTGGATTAGTTTGTACCGAGTGGGTTGTCCTTGGGGCATGGCAATTTTGGTGCAGTTTCGTTGGGGGGTTGTGGAGTTTTGCTGTCCGGTTGAACCAACCTAACAGATTTATATATATAGATATTCACAAGCTGCCACAAGATCCCAGCATATTTTGCATGTCATGGGATGTAGTGAGAATATTTAGAATAATGTTTTTAATTAGGAGATGCAAATGATTTATATTTTTATTGCTTTTGTGATGGCTTTATATTATATAGTGATGTTTTTAAATGTTTTATGGTGTACTTGGGCATTGAATTGTTGCCTCTGTAAACCGCCCTGAGTTGCCTGAGGGCTGAGAAGGGTGGGATACAAATATAGTAAATAAATAAATAAATAAATAAATAGAATAAAGATAATTGGAAACCTATATTACCTTTTACTTAACTTTATGTGTGACCTCTGTATTCAGCAGAGGATACATTTCAGGACTTTGCATGGATACACAAAGCCATGGGTATTAACGAACCCTATTGCAGAAGCATACCATAAAGTCATGCTAGAGAACCTAAGAAATGCATAGCAAGGACTTCTCCCTAGGCACCACTAGATCTTCCAATCAGAGGCGGCCCTAGGTAATTTTCAATGGTAAGCAAACAGTATTTTGGCGCCCCCCCCCTCCCCCAAAACCAATCACTATCTATCTATCTATCTATCTATCTATCTATCTATCTATGGGGGCATGGACAAATTTTGGCCCTCCAGGTATTTAGGACTTCCTACTGGCTGTTTGGAATTGTGGGAATTGAAGTCCAAAACACATGGAGGGCTGAAGTTGGCCCATGCCAGCCATACATACACACACACACACACTAGCCATCCCCTGCCACGCGTTGCTGTGATCCAGTCTAGTGATCTTGAAAAGAAAGTAATAAGAAAGTTGGTTTCTAATATATGTAATTTCTTAATGCTTGTGGGTAAATAGTATTTCTTGTTGTTTCTTTGTCAGTGTTGATGTAGTTCCAACACAAAATACTGAAGGGATTTGGGGAAAATAGACTCTGATACTGGAGGGGTTTTGGGGAAACATATACAATAATTTAGATTTGCAGTACCTTCAGTCACTTCCGTTCATGAAGAAACCTCCTTGCCGCCCTGAGAGGGGTGATGGCACAGCTGCCTGGAGAGGCACTTGCAATGCTGCCCCTCTTCACACAGGAGAAGAGGCCCTGTGCTCCATCGGCTCCTGGGTATGCGCTTTGCATTCTCTTCCCCCACACGCTTTGCAACTCCGGGAGAGGGACACGCGCCGGCATTACCAGGCGCACGGAAAAAGAGCCCTCATGCATTGAGCATGCTCTCCCTCCATCCTTCCCTCACAAGTGCGCATGTTGTCCTCCTCTCCTCCTCCTCCTTGCAGGCCAAGGGAGACAACAACGCCAGTGTGCATCCTTCTCCCAGCGTTAGGAAGTGCATGGAGAAGGAGGGCGATGCAGGGCGCACATTTCCTAATGCCGAGAGAGGGATGCGCAGCGGCATTGCCGGGCACGTGGGAAAAGAAGGCTCGTGCATGCCTCTTTTGTGTTTCATCTTGGGTGCTATCTTTGAAATGTGTCATTGTGTATGTAAACAGCTATCCCATGATCCCAAACATTTTATTTATTTATTTACAGTATTTGTATACCGCTTTTCTCACCCTCAGGAGGACTCAAAGTGATTTACACACTTCTAGTTCAAAGCACTTTGGATCAGGGATACTCAACCTGTATTACATTACAAACTGCTAGACCGGCTGTTAGGTATTGTGGGAGTTGAAGTCCGAAACACCTGGAGGGCTGAAGTTTGCTCTTGCATGTGCTTGACCCAGAAGCAGATGAAGAGCCCTCCTTCCATCCAACTGCCACTGCTTTGGCCTTGGAGAAACAGGTGGCATGTGAAGCCATGGAGCCCTTC